CCAAGGGACACCGCGGGACACCTCGGGGAACCACATCGATGTCAGCATCGGTCTCACTATCGATATCACTATTGAACTCACTATCGATCTCACTCAACGGGGCGCCACGGGCCACCACGGGACACTGCGGGACACCGCGAGCCACCGCCGGACGGGCGGAAGGAGGATAATCATTTGTCGTGACTTCGCCCTATCAACGGCGGACACCACGGGGGACGACGGGGCGCCGCGAGCCACCGCCGGACGGAGGAGAATCATTTGCCTGCGCTTCGCCCTAGCAACGGCGGACACCACGGGACATGACGGGACACCAGCTGGACACCGCGGGCCACCTGCCGCCGGCGGGGGAAAATTTGGTCCGGCCGCGGCCCAGCCACAGGAGGACGTCTTCTCGCCCGCGCACGCAGCTTCGCTTCGCCTGCGCGCACGCACAAAGCGAACCCGAAACCGAAGTCGATTTCCCGGTCGGGGGTCTCCGTTTCACGTCGGACTCGCCCCCCAACCTCCTATCTCTCTCTCTCTCTCTCTCTCTCTCTCTCTCTCGCTTCTCTCTCTCTCTCTCTCTCTCTCTCTCTCTCTCTCTCTCTTTATCTATCTATCTCTCTTTCCTTGTCGTTATCTATATATCTCTGACTCTCTCTGTCTTTCTCTGTCTCTCTCTGTCTCTCTCTCTCTCTCTCTCTTTCTTTCTCTCTCTCTCTTTCTCCCTCTCTCTCTATCTGTCTATATCCCCCGGGCGCTCGCGCAGGGGAACATGCGATGCAGCGCGCGCGGACATCGTCTCGTGATCGGATGACCGCCCAGCAACGACAGGACGCGGACGTTTCTGCTTGCGCCTGCGTTTCCGGCGCCTCGCGCCGTCTCCGTCGACTGCTTCTGCCCGCGCAACTTCTTGATAATGCTTCTCTCGAGATGGATGCGGGCGTCAAGGATTCCCGCACGAGTGATGAGCTTTCTCTGTCGAGCGGTGGTTTTGCGCCATTCGCGGGCGAGACGAACGGCGCGCGCGCGGCGCCCACGCGAGGGCCCCGCGGGCGCGCCCTCGCCGCAGAGGAGATAGAGGCCCATTGCCATCGGACAGCTGAGATCCCGTTTTTATTTCGGCCTCCCAGATGGGGCCCGAGGAGACGGGGTCGGAGGTTCGCGCCGCATCGCCGATGCATCGGCGATGCGGCTCGACGCGGAGCCCGATTGTCTCCGCGCCCACGTCGCCGATGCATTTCTACTGCGGGACCTGGACTCGGGCCCCGGGGGTCGGCCGGAGGAGGGTCGTCTTCGCGCGGAGGCACCGGGGCGCAATGTCCTGAGGAAGCCCCCGCGGCGAGGGGCACTTCAGATTCGCAGCCGCCCTGCGCTGCCGTCAAAAGTCGGGGGGGGGGGGGGCCTTGATAAAACCTCGGGTTCGCCGTCGCCACGCGCTGGGCGCGCTGATCCGCGCGGGGGGGGGCGCGGGCGCGGAGGCGGGGGGGTCCGCGTGGCTGGCCGCGACGCGTTTGTTCCGCGGAACAGTGGTGGACTGGCAGTCAGGCCGTCCTGCCAGGCGCCCGCGCGCAATCGCGGGATCGTCTTTCAGGTTGGTCAGGCTACGGACGCCGACGCGATGCCCACGCCGCGCGCGAGCGAGCCCCCCCCGCCCGCGCAGCGAGGCCCCCCCGCGCGGTGGACTGGCAGTCAGTCAGCCTAGCCAGGCGCTCGCATGCAGTCGCGGGACCGTCGTTCAAATTGACCGGGCCACGGATGCTGACACAAGGCCCCCACCACTCACACACAAAAACCCCGCGCATCATCTTCGGGCGCGCGAATCACAATCGCGCCGGTTGGCCTCAATTCGGCTTCTTCTCTGCAGTTCCCCCCCCCCGCATAAGGAGCTGCGTCGAGCTCTTGCTGATTGGATCTCGAACCGGGCGCGGAACTGGCTGCCGACGTCGCGCGCCCATCAGCAGGGCGGCGATTTAAAACAATGAATGGGAGCGTTGCGCTTCTTACGTTGCAGTCATCTTGCGCAATTCTGGGCTCGAGCCGCTCCCCGCCGCCCCCCCGAGAGGCGCCCCTGGCGCGCGCCCCAGCTCTTCGGGCAGATGGAACCTATCGTTTGAACTGCGCCCGGCAAGGCGGCGCTCCGCGGCCACTCCACGGGAGCAGCCGCGGCCGCGCATTGGCATCCCCTCGGCCGCTTCACGGCGCTCGGCGGCCGCTCGCTCCGCGACGTCGCGGCCACGGGCATTCGCGCCAACGCGGCTGGACCGCAGGTATCTCCCGCGCGTGCCCAACTGGGCAGGGCGGTTTTGGGCGCGCAGAGGGCAGCTGGCACGGAGACCTCGCCGGCCCCCCAGCCCCGCGCCAAATGTCTGCCGCCTTTACTCCAGGGCGCGCCGCCCCGCGGCGCTCCGCGCGACGCGCAACGCGAATGTCTCTCCGAGCGAAGCTGGGGACTATCCCCCGACGGAGCGAATGGCAGCATGAACCTCGATGGATATCCCAACACTTCTGCGGGGGCTATTGCCGGAGTGGAGCTGGGGTCCGAAAGTGGCCAACAGCTGGCCGCTGGTCTGCAGGCTGGGATGGCAGCGCCATGCGAGGATGAAGTCACGGGCGATGGCGAGCACGCGCGCCACTTCAGCCAAGGTATGAATGAGGACGAGTCCGCTGCCTACGTGCGCGCTGCTCTCGGTCGCTCTGCTGCCGACGATGGCGACGTCCAACCTGACCCAGTGGCGGCGGCGGGGGCGGCTTCACCCGCGGCGGCTGCCGCAGACGGCGGCGGCGCGGAGGCTGTCTACTGCGAGGAGGAGGACGAGAGTCTCGACCAGCTGATGGCACGGCATGGCTTTGGCATCCTGATGGCTCTATTGGTGTTGCGGCCATCCAAGCATTGGTCGATTGTGCTCTGGGCCTGTCGGCCGAAGATCCGGCGGGGGCGGGGGCATGCCCCGCGGCCGAACATGACGAATGGCCTCCTCGCCATTGTGGCGGGGGCATTCCCGGTCAAGCGGGCAACACCCTCTCTGCAACGCAAGCTGTTCGCCCAGCGGAGGCGGGGGCCTTCCCCGCGGCCCCGCGCGTCGACCCGCCTCCAGGCCCTGGCGTGGGAGCTCCTCTCCGCGGCGAGGGCGTGGCCCACCTGTCCTCCATTCCAGCTGGCGGCCCGACGGTGGCGGGGGCCTTTCCTGCGACCCCTCCCGGTGCAGAACTAGCTGCGGATTCTGATGGGGACGCTGACGTAGTGATCGGTTTCATTGGCACGCCAGATGGCAGGGAATCGTTGCCGGCTCTGGGGGCAGAGCGCCGCCTTTCCTGATTTCAATCCTAATCTTGTTCCTGAGGCACTGGCTCTTGGCGGGGGTCTCCTCCTCTCTGCCGCGGCATGCTCGAGTTGGCGAAATTGCCCCTCCCACTGTAGACCTGGACTTCATATGCAAGCGCAAAGTCTAAATTCAATTGAACGACGCCCTGGCCTGCGCGACCACGTCGATCCCAAAGGGGCGAAGATGCTTGGCTACAGCAGCGCACCTCAGTTCGATGGTTTTGATGTCATGGCCAGTTCTGACCTCGCGGACCTCATGGCATCGCATTCTGGCGGCGTGATGCCCGCTGGCCCTGCCGTTGTGGAAGGCGTTCGGGGGGCGGCGAACGGTGGGCTACAGGCTGTTCGCGGTGGTGCTCTTGGTCATGGGCCTTCTGTGCCAGATGTATCATTGCTCTCCCCGCCGTTTCCGAATGCCTCGGTAGATGAGCCCGCTGAGCCACTGCCGCCCGACCAGTTCGACATGTGCATGCAGCCGGTCCTGGCAGATGATGGCGACGATTTGCCCCTTCTGGGCGATATGGATACGCAGGCTGAAAATCTCCAACAAGTAGCCGCTCAAGTAGCCGATTTCGACCACCTCGAGCAGGCTGTCGCGCCGGAGGTGGAGGAGGCGAACGACGCCTTCGCGCAGGTCTCGGCGACTGCCGTTTTTCCCGGCGCTGAAGACCCCGCGCCCGCAGGCCCCGAACTGCCTGGGGGCCGCCCGCAGCTTGCGGGCCACGATGGCCGCCCGCCCTCGCAGGCGATCAACGCGAGCAACGACGACGCCATGGCCTGTCTCGACGGCTCCGCCGTCGCCGTCACCGACCCCTCGGGCGACGGCTCTGTCGACGACCACAACCTCGGGGAGCTGATCAGGATGTCCGTCTCGCCCCCGAGGCTGGGCTCCGCGGGGGCCCAGGCTCCGCGGGGGTCGCGGGCGGCGCGCGTCGTGCTGCCCAGGCGGGCTGACTGGAGACCTCCGAGGCGCGGGCGTTGCCTCTTCCTCCTTCTCAGGCTGATCCGCGACCCAGGCACTAGCCCCCCTTTAGGGCCAGTGACCACCTGGGCCAGGCGTGTCGGCCGACAGTCCCACGAGGATGAATTGTACAACATGCGAGGCCCCCGCCTTCAGCGAGGGGCCTCCCAAGTCGGGCGGGTTGAGCGATTCCCAGATCTCGGGGGACGGATAGGACAGCACCGAGGACACATGTCCGCAGCGGGAGGGCCTTGACCGCTGAACTGAAATCAAAACTGAAGGGTGCCTCCATCCGGAGGACTTTTGTTGGCTCTGCCGAGAGGGGCGATATCCCTCAGCAGGCCCGCGACAGGAGCACACCTTCAGGGCTGTGCCTCACGCACCGCACAGCAAGGCAGCAAGTTGATAGCGGATGGGCCGGCACGCCCAAAAGCTGCATGGGGAATGGGCTCCGCAAGCGAGCACTAGCCAAGGAGGGGGGAGAGAGGAGGGACGAGGAGACGGGGACGGGGGGCGGGGGGCGGGCGTCGTGTCGTCGAGCGTTGCTGCCTCTGCAGGTCCTCCTCACCCTCAGCCCCACTACCACTTCTCTTCCTCTTCTGCACTCACCGGCCTGGGACTGGTCCTGCCACCGCCACCTCCTCGCCCTCAGCGAGTTCCTCCTCACCCTCTGCCTCCGCCTCCTCCTCCACCTCCTCCACCTCCTCCTCCTACACCTCCTGCTGCAGACTGTGCTCAGCGCCCGCCCCCGACGACAGGGGGCTTGTGGGCGCTGAGTAACTGTTCAGCCACCGCCGTTTGCAGAACAGCACTGAGCTCTTGCCAGAAAGCGACCGCATCGGCAGACGCTCCTGCCTCTCCGTCAGAGCGGTCCAGGTGATCCTGGATCAGCTGTCTCGCAGAAGAGCCCACTCGTCCCCCAGTTTCGATCGCGAAAGGAATGAGCAAAGGTGTCGTGGGTCCCGGCGGGCACCGGCGCGCCTTGTCGCGGGCCGCGTCCTCCGCGGCGAGGCCAGCCTTCGCCGCCCGAGCACGCGCCTCCCTCTCGTCAGTACTGTCCGGGCTAACCACGACCACGTCCACCGCCCTGGCGCAGCCCTGGCGGGCCCAGACGACGTCAAGGACCGCCGTCTCGACGCGCGCAGTCTCGACCCCATCCACGACAGCTCGGCGGGTCCTTTGCCACTGGGGCACAGTCTGCTCCTTCTGGACCCATGCTGGGACGCGCCGGGCAAGCCAGCGGGCCAGCAGGTCGCGAATGCGATCGTGTCGCGCCACGCGGCGCCCTCCCGTCTCGCACGCCAAGGCGTGGTGCTGGTCGGTGTCCAGAACCGCTCCGCAAAGCACCCCCTCTCGGGATGTGTTTCGACAGTGCGTCTGCGGTTCCAGTCCGCGCAGCAGCCGCGCGCCCGTCATCAGAAGGCGCCGCCCCAACGAGATGCGGTACAGCTCAGGAGCCATTCTGTGTTCAGGCTTAGTCGGCAACATGGTGAAGGCACCAGCACCTGGGCCCCCCGCGGACAGCAGGCGGCCGCGCTCGCGGTGGTCTAGGCCAGCTTTGGCGACGCCTGCGATCACTTCCATCCGCGGGCCCACCAGGTCCTTCTGTCGGTGGCGCTCTCCCTGGGCCAGCGACGTCTGTAGGCAGTGGGCAGCGCCGACCGAAGCGTTGTACGTCACCACAGCGGCTTCAAATCCCTGCGTGCCCGCAGCGCGCGCGGCGAGGAGAGCCTCGGCGCTGGGGGCCCCAAGCGCCGCCGCAACCCGCGGGGCGGCGTCGAGCCACGCGGCGATGTGCGCCGCCTCCCGCCGAGGCTCGGCCGCGCCGGCCGCGAGACCGCCATCCCGGAGGGGCAAACAGGACTGCACCCACTCCCGATCGGACATGTCAACGCCCAGGACGTCATTCCAGAGGCCGCGAAGCACCGTGTCATAGGCCCGGACGGCCACCAGGTCCTGCAGGTGCGCGCGAAGGAGGTGGTTCGGTAAGCCTTGGGCTGTCCACCTCAGCATCGCCGTTGCCTCTTGTGGCCCCAGTCCTGCGGCCCTCGCCTCCCAGAGCGTCTGCCCGAAAGCCCGGAGCGTCTCGGTGGCGGCGCCCATGGCGCGCACCCCGCCTCCAGCTCCCGCGGCCAGGGCGTCCCAGTCGTCGTCCTGTCGGCGCGTCAGACTGCAGCCCACCACCTGGAGCTCGTCCTTCACGTACTGCCGGAGGGAGGGTGGGCAGCGCGCAGTGCCAGGGGGCAGCCACACCTTCGTCTTGCTTGGGTCCAGCACAAGACCGCCAGGGCCCAGCAGCCCAGACAACTGTCGCAGGTACTCTTCTGCCTCTGCGCTCGGCACCACGGCAACGACGTCGTCCAGGTAGGCGGTGACGAGCCACTGCGGTCTGGCAGAGAAGTGCTGTAGCGCCAGTTGGTGCAAGGCGGCCGCAAACGCTGCCGGGCTCAGCGGGCACCCCTGTGGCACCCCGGCGCCGGTGCGCAGCTCACGCGTGTCACCAGTGCCGTCGCGCCATAAACCCACGGCAGGCCTGGCGTAGAGTCTCGCAAGCAGGCTTCCGTACTCAGGGAGAGCCCCTCGCAAGGATGCGATAACTCCCCGGCGCGCAAGCGTGCCGAACGCGTTGGACACGTCCACCGCCACCAGCACGCTGCCCGGCCTATCGTGCACAGCTGCTTGCAGCGCCTTGAACTGAACATCTGCGCCGCCAGGCACCCCAAGACCATACTGGTACGAGCCTGCCGCGGCCCGCGTGGCAGCCTTGGTGTGGGCCACGAACCCGGTCAGGACGATCCGGCGGAACGGCGCAAGGACCGTGAGCGGGCGGACGCCGCCGCTGGCTTTGTGGAGCGCCGTGATGGCCCCTGTGCGCAGCCACTCGTCCACGACTGGCGGCGCGGAGCCCTCCACCCAGGCCAGGGCGGCCTCCACCAACGCGTCGACCGCTTCGGTGTCGGCAGCCAGCACGCGCCAATGCTCATTGCGGCTGCTGTCCAGACCTGGCGCGCGGCCGCCCTTGGCCTTCCTGAAGGCTGCGGCGATGGCGTCCCCGAGCTGCTGACGAGTCTCCGCTGCGAGCGGAGTCGCCGTCGCGTCGTCCTGCGCCGCGTCCCAAGTGTCAGCCTCGGGGAAGAGAGCGCGGAGCCGATCGTGGACGCCTGGGCCGGCAGCTGTCTGGCCGGACCTCCGGAGCGTTGCAACAGCCCCTGCCACCTGCCCGTCTTCGAGTAGCGTGTTGACGCGGCGGACCCTGCTCGTCACGTCCACGGCAGTAGCAGCGCCCACTCGCAACTCACGCCTGTGAGCGGCTTCCCACAGCTCTTGCCACTCCCCGCGCCAAAATGCATGCAGGCGCTCAGCAACGTCATTCTTGATGTGTTTGGCCCTTTTGCCATTGGCCCCGCGCCCACCCCGGGCTCCAGTGGCAGCAAATATTAAGCGAGGTGCGAAAATGACAAGTTTCCAAGCACGCTCCCGGTCCTGGGCGGTCTGCCCACCCACACTCTCCCTCAGAGCTTTACCCGTGGCCTCGGCCCAAGCAGCTTGCAGTCCAGCTGGGACGCGGCGCATGGTGGCGACCTTATGTCCGAGACTGTTTGGCACGTCCACTGTGTCCCACCACGCCATGTGCAGGAGCTGGGATGCACCAAGGGGGTCTTCTGGATCGCGCAGCGCGGGTCCAGGGCCCACTGGACCGACCTGGGCGCCTTCCGCTTGGAAGATGTCCTCCCCGTCTTGCTGCATAGAAGCCTCCCCCAGCAACTCGCGCACACGATCAACCTCAGCTTGCGGGGTGGTACGGGAGCCTTCCAGCGTGGCCATGGGTCGCCAACGCTTCCCCACGCAGTGCCAGTGGCATAATCGGGAGGCCCCTTGTGTCTGCAGACGCGGCTCGCCAAGCGCAAACTCCTCCTTACAGGTGTGGCAGTGTGCCCGGCGGCCGTTGCCCTGCAGCGTCAGGACCCAGTTGAGTCCCCTCCGAGCCCCCTGATCGACGTCCATGTTCTGGGGACCCGCAGCTGGAGGGCCCTCGCCGGGATAGCCAAGAGTCGCGTCGAATTCCAGGGCGCTCCAGCTGATGGCCCAGGCGGCCGGGGCAGCTGACGGAACAGGCGCTGCTGCGCAAGCCTGGGCGTGGACCAGGCCTGCCGCCATCGCACCCACGGAGGCGGCGACGGCGAGGCTCAGTCCGAGGTAGGCCGCTGCTCGGCCGTACATCCGGATGCGGCTCCGGAACTGGCGCGCGTCAATCCTGGCTGCCGCGGCCCAGCCCCTAGCGAGGCAAGCGTCGACGGCCGCCCGCGCCCGCATCAGCACCTCCACCGTGATGAGGGCCATCAGGGCGAGCAGCCAGAGAGCGTCGCCCACAACAACCGCGAGGCCAGGGTTCGTGCCGCTCCAAATCTCCGAGAGGAAGGCGTGGAGGAGAAGGAGAATGCCGACTCCGCCGCGGCGGCGTGCGTGCCAGAACAATCGTAAAGCCTGAGGTGCTGGGGCTGCCCAGGCGGCAAGGCCGATGGCGTCGCTGTGCTCCTCCTCAATCCTCGTCCAGCTGCTGCTGCTGGTTGCTGCTCCTCTTCCTCCTCCTCCTCCTCCTCCTCCTCCTCCTGTCCTGGGTGGCTCGTCCGGCTCCGCCTGATCGAACGACGACGACGACGACGACCAGGAAGAGAGTGAGGGAGAAGAGGACGAGAAGGAGTAGGCGGAGACGGGGTAGGAGGAGAGCGACGAGGTCGGCCGATGGGGCAAGGGAGGAAGGCGGAACGAGGATCCAGACGACGACCAGAGGGTGGTGGAGGCGAGGGAGGAGGAGGAGGAGGAAGAGGAGGAGGAGGCTTCGTAGCCATTTTGGCTTAAGTCCGCCTCTTCATCCTCCTCGTCGGGCAGCTGCGCGCCGATCCTGGCGCTGGAGCCGCCCGGCGCGTGCCGCCCCGCCTCCTCTACCGTTTGAGCGTCCGTCTCCTCCCTGACCTCAGCCGCCACCTCCTCCTCGCCCTCATCCTCGACGGGGTTCACGAACGTTGGGTCCAGCATGATGCCCGCCTTGGAGTCGCAAAAGACGTCATTCATGTCTGTCTTGTAAGCGTCCTGGTTCGCGCCCTCCAGAACGGTGTAGCTGTCGTCCGTGTCCAGGGCCGAGAACACGACCTTGTTCGCGTCCGCCTTGGGGTGCAGCTGAATCTTTCTGTCGGTGAGGAACACGCCGGAGGACTCACAAACGTAGTCCGCACCGTACTTCTTGAAGGGGATTTCGGCCGGATCACGGGTGTGCGACAGCGCCACCTGCTTGCCATCGATCACCAAGGAGTCCCCGTCGACCTCGGCAGTGCCATCGTACTTGCCGTGGATCGAGCCGTGCTTCATCTGAAAGGCAAGATACTCCGCATCGAGACTCGTGTTCTTCAGCTTGAGCTCCGCCTCTGGGTCCTCCGTAGCGATGCGGGTCTCCTGGCACCCGGCATCCTGAGCCTCCTTCGCCGCCTCCTCCTCCTCCTCCTCCTCCTTCTCCTCCTCCGCCTCTTCTTCGACCTCATCCGCCAACTCCTCCTCGACTCCCTCACTCACCTCCTCGACCTCCGCGCGGCCACCACGACAGTCTTTCTTCGACGCCCCGTCCGCTGTCGGCTGAGATGCGGCCATGGCGTGGATCGTAGTCACGAAGCCCCGCTGAATGCCGAACGCGTCGATGACGACAGCCTTGACCTTGGGAGCAAGGGCATTGGTGGTGCACGTAGCGCAAGAAACGCAATTCCTGTCTGTCTTGTAGGTGTCCTTGTTCGCGCCCATCTCCATGGTGTGGCTGTTGTCCGCGGCCCGGGCCGAAGACCTGACATTCTTCGCGCCCACCTTGAGGTGCAGCTGAATCTTTCCGTCGGTCAGGAACATGCTGATGAACTCACAGACGTAGTCCGCACCGTACTTCTTGAAGGGGATCTCTGCTGGGTCACGGGTGTGCGACAGCGCCACCTGCTTGCCCTTGATCGCCAGACAGTCCCCGTCGACATCGACAGTGCCATCGTACCTGCCGTGGATCGCACCGTGCTTCATCTGATAGGCAAGATGCTCCGCACCGTGACTCGCGTTCTCCAGCTTTAGCTCCGTCTCTGGGTCCTTCATGGCGATGCGGGCCTCCTTGCACCCGACCTCCTGAGCCTCCTCCGCCGCCTCCTCCTCCTCCTCCTCCTCCTGAGCCTCTTCTTCGACCTCATCCGCCGACTCCTCCTCGACCTCCTCACTCTCCTCTTCCGCCATGGCGCTCTCGCGCGCGCCGATCCTGGCGCCACGGCCCCAGGAGGCGCGCTGCGGCTCCTCCTCGACCTCATCGTCGACCTCCTTAGCCTCCTCCGCCGCCTCCTCCTCCTCCTCCTCCTCCTCCTCCTCCTCAGCAGCCTCATCCTTGATCTCGTCCGCCACCTCTTCTTCGACTTCCCCGCCGACCTCCTCGACCTCCGCGCTGCCGCCACTACAGTCTTTCTGCGACGCCCCGTCCACGGTCGGCTGAGATGCGGTCATGGCGTGGATCGTAGTCATGAAGCCCCGCGGAATGCCGAACGCGTCGATGACGGCAGCCTTGACCTTGGGAGCAAGGCCATTGGCGGTGCACGTAGCGCAAGAAACGAGATTCATGTCTGTCCTGTAGGTGTCCTGGTTTGCGCTCATCACTATGGTGTGGCTGTCGTCCGTGGCAGGGGCCGAGGGCACGACATCCTTCGCGCCCTCCTTGAGGCGCAGCTGAACCTTTCCGTCGGTCAGGAACACGCCGGTGAGCTTACACAAGTAGTCCGCACCGCATTCTTTGGAGGGGATCTCGGCCGGGTCACGGGTGTGCAACAGCGCCGCCTCCTCGACTCCATCCTCGACCTCATCCTCGACCTCCTCGGTCTCCTCCGCCACCTCCTCCTCCTCAACAGCCTCCTCCTTGGTGTCGGCCGCCACCTCCTCCTCGACTTCCCCACTACCCTCCTCGACCTTCTCCTCCTCCTTAGCCTGTACCCTGGCCTCCTCTGTCTCCTCACCGTCGCGGTGTTGGCGGCCAACGTCAAGTCGTCGGATCGCGTTGTGTCGTCGGGCGGGGACGGGGGCGGGGGCAAGAGAGAGCAAGAGATCGGCATTGGAGGGGTGAGAAGCAAAAGACGGACGAAAGCGCGATGCCGCCTCGCTTTTGCGGGGGGTAGGCGAAAGGACAAATTCACTTGCGCCAGCGTTTCCTCTCGCGGGGGAGGGGGGGGACTGCGGGGCCAGAGAGCGAGGCAGATGGTACGGAGACAGAACATGAAAAAATTGCCTGGAAAAATCTCCGGGCGTAGACACAACACTGCACGGATAAAACTCTTGGCATTCGTTGCAACATTTTGTGATTAAAAGGCCGCCAACTGGATAAAGCTCCAGGATGCGAAAAATTGTGGGAAGCGGTGCGCGGGCTGCTTCGTGCCGGGGCCGGGGCGACGGGCGGGAGGAGGAGGGGGGTCGAACAAACGGGTAGGTGGGAGGCTGGAGACGGCCTGCAACACAAATTAAAGGAGCATTGGCGTCGTGCGCGGAGGGCCCCCTCAGAGCCGCCAGGGGCGGCAGCAATCAGGCCGAGCCAGACCTTCACGTACCCCGCCGCCGACCAGGGCGTCACGCTGAACATGTTGTGCTCGCCGCTGTCGGGGTAGGACATACACTCGCACGCCAGGGCTACCGTCCCCGCGGGCTGAACGCAGTCCGTCGTGCAGGAGCCGGAGCTGTAATAGTCGCACGCCCGGTGCGACACGTTCGTGATGGCGGGGTTCAGGTCCTTCTTGCCGAAGGGCTCCGCCTGGAGGTGGAGAGATCCCTGCGCGCGGGGCACGTGGATCTGGCCGGCCACCCGGCATCCCTCGTTGAACATCATGTGGTGACGGGCGACGATCAAGTGGCTGTTTCTAATCGACGACGTCAAGAAGCTGACGATGTTCGTCACGGAGCGATGCTGCTGGAAGACCTCGAAGGAGCCGTGGCGCTTGTAAGACCGCAGGGTCGGGAAGGCTGCTATCTTGGCCTTCTTGCAGTTGTCCTGGAAGTCCACGCAATTCGTCTTCAGGAATTTCACCGTGGACTGCCGCCCGTCGCCGTCGGAGACGTGCATCTTCTCGCCGATCTTGTCCGACGCTTCTATCCATGTCGGGAGAAACTGCCTGCAGTGACTGCGCCACTCGGCGTAGAAGTTCACCAGCGTGTAGTCGTGGAAGGTCGCCGCCGCCTGGAAGTCTTTGTGCTGGGAGTGGTCGCTGCTGGCGGACCAGTCCGAGTCGAGCTCCTTGGCCTCGTCCTCCGCGATGTCCGAGGCCACGTCCGCCTGCTCGAGCACCGCGATCTCCGCCTCGGTGTGCTTGGCGCCCGCGGTGCCCCCCCAGTGGACCAGAGTGCTATGGGTGAAAGACTTGTTGGTCACGAACCTATCTTTCCCGCACTTGTCCCACGAGCCCACTTCCCGGTACTTGCAGGGGAGGTCGAACACCGAGGTGTCGTACTCGATCCTCAGCGATTCGTCAAGCTCGTCGTCGATGACGACGTTCGTAGAGTAGCTAACTCTCAGGGAGGCCCCCAGCTCGGCGAACAGCAGGACTCCCAGCAGGGCGCACGCCACCACGGTGCAGACGCCGCCAGAGACCGCCCCGTGGGTGAGGTCCGCAGAGACCACGCGGAACTGGTCCACGCTGAGCAGCACCCTCGAGAACCCCTCTGCGCACGGCCTTTGCGGACCGCGCGCCGCGGAGGCGGCGAGGCCACAGGATGCCCAGGGCGAGCCTGACCCTGGAGCCGCGACCTGTCTGCCCTGCCTCGCGGCGGCGGCATCGTCGGGGGCGCCAGTCCACATCAGCGCATTGCGCGGGCCCCTCTCTGGCACGCGCAGGCCCCTTCTCATCCTCCTCCTTCTCCTCCTTGTCCTCCTCCTCATCTCGCCCCCTGCCGCGCGCCGGGCAATGCAAGTCGGCAGTGCTATCCTCGCCCTCGGCAACTGCGCTCTAGCGTTGCCGGCGTTCTCGCAGCGGGCGTCGGCGTTGACGAGCGCTGCCCCAGCCCTTCGGATCTTTCAGCAGCGTCCTGCGCCGCCGTCGTCGAGACGCCTCGCTGGCATCGAGTCAGCCCACGTCATTGGCACCAGGTATAACATCAGCCATCGGCAGAAGTCATGGAGACCAACAGCGGCAGTAGTCAAAGTGGCGACGGACCCCGACGACGCCACCCCCCTCCCCACTGTCGACGCAGAGGGGGGACAAGCGGTTCCAAGAGCCGCAGCGGAGAGCGCGGACGAGACAAGCACGAGCAGGCGTGCCAGAGCCAGCGGGGGCCCTGTCCAACGACAGCCCGAGCATTTTCCTTTCTCTCTCGCCTCGCATTCAACAAGCTATCCTGGCAGAGCCGGAGTTGCTGCCAGCACATCCGTCATTGCCTTCCCCCGATGTCGCACGCCCTTTTGGCCCTGCTATACTTAGCGGCGAGGATGGCATGAGGGAACACCCCATTCCTCCTGCGCACCCTGCTCATCCATCGGCAGACCTCGCGGGTTGGGAAGGCCCGCTCGCGGCGATGGGCCAGGCGCAGATTGAGGATGCGAACCGTCGGCTCGCCGCTACGGCTGCAGAAGTTCATCCAGCAGCAGCGGGCCGCCGCCAACACGCAGGCGCGGGAGTTCTCGGGCCCTAGCAGGCAGAACGCCTCCCACCTCCAGGAGCACGACCGCAGGATTCACAAGCTCCAGGAGCGCGTCCATCGCGTGGAGCGGGGCCAACAACGCACGCGTGAACATATTGCAACGACGGAGGCATCACTAGCGTTGGCGGAAGGCGCCGCACCTTTAGACGTGCAGAGGCTGGCCGAGCGGGGGCGCGCGCCCGGCCCCGCGCCCACCAGCATCGGCAGGCCCAGAGCGGGTTTTTTCCCGCGCGCGGTCGCGGAGGCGCTGGGCGATTGGATTGTTGCTTCTGGCGGGCAAGCTGAACGCCTTCAACTGCGCGGCGAAGTTCCCCAGGGGCGATTATGCATTCATTTTCCCCGGTGGACGCGCAGCCTCGACAAGAGCGATGGCATGTTCAAGAGTTTTGCGAGCACCTAGAGGTTTCCGTGCATTCCAAGGGCGCGACGCGCCAGGCACCGCCGCGCCAGTCTTTGTTAATCCGGACAAGAGCCCCAAGACGTCGCGGATGGATATTCAAACAAAGCGGCCTTGAACATCATTCAGAAACAACGCGCCGGGCACAACGTCGGCGCGCGGCGATTCCAAGGCAGCCCCGCTATGGACTCGGCGCCGCTCGTTGTCGCCGAAGCATAAGGAGCAAGAGAGCCTTCTCGCCTTCGGTGGACTGCAGCGGTGCTCTCCATATTCCAGATCGGCAAGACCCCCTGGTAGAGGTTTTTAGCATGGCGTTCGCAAGCGTGGACGCAACTACGCGGTCGCTTGAACAGACAGCGGTCGCCCTGGACCACGCGGGGATCATGCGAGGGAGGCGCGATCGCCAGTCGGAACGCGAGGGGCCCCACCTGCTATCGCGCGCAGCGGAGGCGGGCCAAACTCAACAAACTCGCCTCTCACATGAGGCGCAGAAAAGTCATTACCATTCAGGAGTGTCGGGGGTAACCTGGACATTTCGGAGGCTGCTATCTCCGCGTTGCCATGTCCATGCAAGATTTTATACGATCATACGTCTCGGAGTGTCGGTGGCACTGGACCCCTTGCCACTCGAGACCGCCGCGATGCCGAACCACCAGAGGTTGCCCTTCAACGCGAGATTACTTCCTGGAAGAGTTGCGGCACTGGCAATTCACAGCGCGCAGGGCAACATCACGCCCACGCTGATGAGCGCGCACAACCGCGAGATATCAGGCCCACCGACAACGCATTCAGATCCGATGGAGAGAGCTGGTTGCACGGAATCGAGCGGCGCCCACTCTTCGCGCGTTCCGGGCGGCGGGCGACTTCAATGTGCGCGCAGGGCTTCCCAAGAGTCACGTCGACCCCACTAACGAGCAGTTTGGGCCTCAGGCAGTTCCAGTTGCACATAGTCAGCCACTTCGTTCATTCGGGGAGAGGTTACGCGAAAGCACTAAAAAGATCTCGTTTGATTGCTTAACGCATTACTGCAGGGGCACGCAGAGGGCTGCAATGCTGGACATAGTTGTCACGGGCATTCCTTAGCACTTCTTGTTGCACATGGATATTACAGTGGAGGTAGAGATGGACGTTGCCCAATCCTCAGACCAATGACTTAGTGATCACAGACTTGTTACTGTCAAATTACAGGACAGAGTTCAACCTGACGAGCAACCGACACACATTCCTGAATCGATGGTAAGTGCCAGGATCGTTGGGTTCAGACTCTGTCCGTGCTTCAGACTCCGCCCTCTGGGTGGATCGCCCACCCCCACTCGTCGCCGTCATCCTTCGCCTATTGGGGTCAGCTTGGAGCCATCGCGGGGTCGCATCAGGACCGCGGGGTCAACTTGGGGTGCCTGGGCAGGGCTGTGCATCCGCATTTGTGTGAGACATCTTCGCAATTGAGTACCTATGTTTCAGGTCTGCTATGTTTCCGGGCTCGCCTCGTCTCTTTCACGCCCGGGAGCGCGTATGAACACTGCGGTCTCCAAGACCCCTCGTCCTCCTCCTTCCCCGTCCTCCCTCCTCTATGTCACCGTCGCCCTGTCTCTTGCTTCTCTTCCGTGGGGGCTGCGAATTGCGAAACTGTCGCCACCATCGTAAGCCATATGGAGGTCCAGCGGAGTGGCGTCCCACGGCGATCAGAATGGGACTTCGCCCTTCGTGGGAGCTGCGAACTGCGCAGCTGTCGCCACTTTCGTGGGCCCCTGGGCGGTCCAGCAGAATGGGGTGCTCCAGGACGTCCTGGAGGGCTGAGGTTGAAGCCATAGGTTTTGGAATAGCGTTCCAAACACAGTCAGCCCCAGGTTTTGGAATGCCGCTCCACCCCTAGATTTTGGAATACCGCTCCAAACACAATCAGCTCAATGTTTGAGCCTACACCATCTGTTCACTGCTACCCGCCGCCGTCGTCGTCGGCAGGTTTAGTCGGGAACCAACGGGGGACAAGTTTGCTATCGCGTTGTGGTGTTCATTTTCGCCGTCGTCGTCATCGTCGTCGGCAGTTGAGCCTGGAACCAGGGGGGGACTTTGTTAACGTGTTGTGGTCTTCATTTTCGGGTCGTCGTCATCGTCGTCGTCGGCAGGCTGTCTGGAATCATCCTCCATCGGGCCGCTCTCGCATGGGACCCTGGAGACGAGGCGAGGGAACGGGAAGGAAGACGAAGGATGAGGAAGGGGAGGACGGGGGGAGAAAGGGGGTTAGGAGTGGGGGGCGAGGGGGGGGATGAGCAGAATGAGGGCGTGGAAGATGACAATAACGACGACGAGGGGCAGAGAAGGACTGCACAGGGGAAACGAGAAACATGATGGGTTCGCAAGGCCATCGGAAGCTGAACGGCGAGTACCGTTGCGAAATCATCCCTTGGGTTTGCGGCCTTTCGGGGGCGCCCCTTGGAAGCGAGGCTGTAGGCACCCCAAGCCGTCCCAGCGCCCTCATGGAGCTTGAAGCTGTTTCAACTCCCAATTCTTCAAACAGTGCCTGCATTCAGGCTTCTTTTTCTGTGGTCGCAGGAGCTGGGACAGGGTGGGGGGCTGGCGGCTATGTGGTCGCCGTCGCGGCCCCGTCGCCGCCTCGTCGCTGGTCGCCTGGGCCTGGCTGGCGGTATGTCGGCTATGTGGCCGCCGTCGCCGCCCTGTCGCCGCCTCGTCGCCGGGGGGGGGGCGAAAAAAAACCCGCGCGTTTCGCGCTGAACCCCGCGCTTCCAGTGGGGGGGACCGAAAAGACCCCGCGCGTTTCGCGCTGAACCCCGCACTTCAAGGGGGGGCGAGGGGGGGGGGCGAAAAGACCCCGCGCGTTTCGCGCTGAACGTGCGGGGAATTGCGCGCGCGACGACGACGACGACGACGACGACGACGACGACGACGACGACGACGACGGACGACGAAATCGACGACGACGACCGACGATCGACGACCAACGACCGAGGACCGCGACCGACGACCGACGACCGACGACGACGACGACGACGACGACGACGACGAGCCACGACGACGACGACGACGACGACGACGACGACGACGACGACGACGACGACGGCCGACGACCGACGACGACGACAACGACGACGACGACGACGACGACGACGGCCGACGACCGACGACGACGACGACGACGACGACGACCGACGACCGACGACGACGACGAAGACGACCGACGACGACGACGACGACGACGACGACGCGACGACGACGACCGACTCACGGACGACGACGACGACCACGAACACGACACGGCCACTGACGACGACACGAAGACTACGACGCTCGCGAAAACGTACCAGGATAGAAGAGAAATGTTGCCTGAGGGAAAAAAAAAGGGGGGGGAAAGGGGGGGGATGAGGGGGGGAGAGGGGGGAAGGGGGGGGAGGGGAAGGGAGGGCGGGGAGGGGGGGTGGGAGGGGGGAGGGAGGGGGTGGAGGGAGCGGGGGGAGGGGTGCTGCGTTAGGCGCCGCGCAGCACGGGCGGGGACCCGACCGAGAACGATGAATGAGTAAATGAATGTTGCCAGATGTTGCCAGCCAAGGGAGGGGGCTGCTTAAGCGCCTTGCAGTGGGCCAGGGACGGGGGACGACCGAAGCCGACGACGACGGCAACGACGACGACGACGACGACGACGACGACACGACGACGGCGACGACGACGACGACGACGACCACCGACGACCGACGACCGACGACGACGACCAATGACGACGACGACGACGACGACGACGACGACGACGA